CGTTGTGGGCGTTAGGGTAGGCGTGAAAAATTCATTATTCAATAGAATAAGTTAGCCGCGCACTTTGCTCTCTCTGAGCGCCGGCAATGCTTTTTTCTTTGCCGCTAAGTTCGGCCGGCAACTATTTACATACACACACACATACACGCGTAAAAACATTTCGCATTGTCTGGCTCTGACGTCATAGCTTTTTTTTTGGGAGGTTTGTGGGCGTTAGAGTGGGCGTAGCAAAATTTTTTTTGGGTCAATCGATAGGTATTGACAAGACTAATACATTTCAGTTAAAATTTTCTATCTAGCATCAAAACTGTAGGAGCCACCATTTTTGGCCGTTTTTTGGGGTTAGAGTGGGCGTGGCAGTCTACTGAAATAAACTTGCGCTGCGTAAGAAGCTCAGGAATCTGCACGCCAAATCTCAATAGCCTAGCTCTCATAGTTTCCGAGATCTCAGCGTTCATCCGGACAGATGGACAGACGGACAGACAGACAGACGGACATGGCTAGATCGACTCGGCTAGTGATCCTGATCAAGAATATATATACTTTATGGGGTCGGAAACGCTTCCTTCTGCCTGTTACATACTTTCCGACGAATCTAGTATACCCTTTTACTCTACGAGTAACGGGTATAACAAGGGAGAACGCTATAGTCGAGTACCTCGACTATCAGATACCCGTTACTCAGCTTAAGGGACCAAAGGGAAATGGAGATATGCAAGCAGCAAAGCGAGATTTAAATGCGCCACCTACCGGCGGAAGACAGATTTAAGCGTTGTGGGCGTTAGGGTAGGCGTGAAAAATTCATTATTCAATAGAATAAGTTAGCCGCGCACTTTGCTCTCTCTGAGCGCCGGCAATGCTTTTTTCTTTGCCGCTAAGTTCGGCCGGCAACTATTTACATACACACACATACACGCGTAAAAACATTTCGCATTTTCTGGCTCTGACGTCATAGCTTTTTTCTTAGGAGGTTTGTGGGCGTTAGAGTGGGCGTAGCAAAATTTTTTTTGGGTCAATCGATAGGTATTGACAAGACTAATACATTTCAGTTAAAATTTTCTATCTAGCATCAAAACTGTAGGAGCCACCATTTTGGGCGGTTTGTGGGCGTTAGAGTGGGCGTGGCAGTCTACTGAAATAAACTTGCGCTGCGTAAGAAGCTCAGGAATCTGCACGCCAAATCTCAATAGCCTAGCTCTCATAGTTTCCGAGATCTCAGCGTTCATCCGGACAGACGGACAGACGGACAGACAGACAGACGGACATGGCTAGATCGACTCGGCTAGTGATCCTGATCAAGAATATATATACTTTATGGGGTCGGAAACGCTTCCTTCTGCCTGTTACATACTTTCCGACGAATCTAGTATACCCTTTTACTCTACGAGTAACGGGTATAACAAACAAACAATAATTTTATGATTTTTTTATTAGTACCCCCGCCTTTTATTTTTATAATTGTCTTGGTGTAATTTATCTTATACAATTCGTCCAATAGTATTATTATAATCAATAAAATTTAAACAGATAAAATTACATTAAACAAAAAAACAAACTTCTAAATATGAAGGGCGATGGAACTCCTATTATGTTGATTGCAGCTGTATGTCTATGAAAATGTCTTCTTTCGTTTATAGCTCTCTTCAATAAATTCTACAATTATTTTGAGTAGGGGGCTTGAAAGATAAAGAGTGGCATTTTTCAAATGCTTTGACGAACTACCGATCCAAGAATTCGTTCGGCTGTAATTGCGTTTAAAATATAGCAAAAACAGATTTCTTCCAACTTTGACATCCATTTTCTCTGAATCCTTGGCCAGGGGAACTTTTTGGTATGCGCAGTTTAAAATTGCGATTCAAGGCGAATCAAATTATCTTACAGCCATCGGAGTAAATTTTTGATGCTAACAGTGTAAATAATATTAATATACTTTTTTCCAAGCAAAAAAAACATGGTTAAAGAACAATCCTAAAAAAAGAGGCAACTATACCAGTATATTACTTATGAATCAATTCAATATTCTGACTTTTTTTCAAATATTATTATTATTTTATTATTTTAATTTATTATTATATACTATTTGAGTTTAATATAAATAAATTATTTGTTGTGCTTTATTTAAAATCTTAAAAAATTTATTATTCTATGAGTTTTATTTAAAATAAAACTATACGTTGAGTTTTATTTTTTTGATTGAAAATAAAATTCGATTTCCAATTTCTACCTATTAAGGACCGATGCCTGTGAAAATGATCAGAAAATAACTAAGTCGACTACGGCCAACACTTTGAGATTAATGATAATTAATCTGCAGCTCCACAGCTAAATGACACCCTTATAAATCCCCTACGGCGACGGTGGATGCAAGCGCGTCATCTGCAAGATTTAGCGATCTTAAAAAAAACTGATTCTCTTATTAAGAAAAGATATGTAAAAAGCTAAGTCGGTCTTTTTACTGCTAACAAATTTGCTGATTTTTTGGTTGAAGGATTGCATATCAAGACTTAAAAAAAATAAATTGTTTTGGGATTAAGAGCGGGAAAGCGTAACAGTGAAATTTAAGAAAATATGATGTGTTGGGGCCCTTGGGGATAAATGCTCAAGTTCATTAGTCTAGGTGTATTCTCATTTAAAATACGCGTCGAATGATTTCTTAAAATTCGATGCTCCGTTCAGGGCACGCTGCAGTTCCATATGTCTGTGTTTAGTTTTACGATTTTGGTAAAGCGTGTCTAATGAGAAAAATTTAAGAAATGTATTTTGTTTGGTAGATCGTATAATACATTTTTGTCACAAAAGTTGATATCAGAACTGTGGTTTCTTGAAGGTGTGATCGTCACAAGATTTTCACTTCGTTAGGAGGTGTTTTTGTTTGATAAAATTATAACTTCGATTTTTTAATACCCTTGCAGGGGGTATTATGATTTCAGTCAGAAGTTTGCAACGCAGTGAAGGAGACGTTTCCGATCCCATAAAGTATATATATTCGATACAGTCGATCTAGCCATGTTCGTCTGTCCGTCCGTTTCTAAGCAAGCTAGTCTTTCAGGTTTAAGCCTTTCGGGCTGAAACTTTATAAGTCGGAACCAGCCTGATCGGACAACTATATCTAATGGCTCCCAAAAGAATAATCGGAAAAAAAATTTAAAATAATTATATCTTAGGTGTTTTTTAACATACAACCTCCTACGCTTGAAAATAACATTTTATAATTAGTTCTGAATTTCGAATTTAATTTTATTATAATCGGAGGAGTATATCATACAGTTGCCATGGGAACGATCGGAAAATTGGTGGAAAAATAATATGAAACAAATTATAGCTTCGGTGTTTTTTGACATGTTATCTTATACCATTCGGAATATAATTTTTTTGTATTTTTAAGAATTTCGAATTAAATTTAATAATAACTGCAAGGGTGTACAAACTTTGGCATGCCGAAGTTAACTTCCTTTCTTGTTTCATATTAAATTATACCCTCGGGAATATCATTCTTATATTATATCAAAATTTGGAATAAAACAAGAGAGGAAGTTAACTTCGGCAAGCCGAAGTTTGTATACCCTTGCACGGACATGGCTAAATCGACTCGTCTAGTGATGCTGATCAAGAATATATATATATTTATGATCATATTCTCCTTTACTTCAGCATGAAGCATTATTTAATAATTAAGAGTTATGATTTCAATTAAAGAAAAATCGGATTACTATAAAAAGGATCGGAAAATTAATGTCATAATAATACAAAAGCCGTTACTAGTAAATTAAAGTGGAATATTATTTAAATATTTCTGTAATTATTTTTTAGTTTTCTAAAAATCGAAAAGGTCTGTACATGCATTGCTCCCATAGGAACGACCTGCTAGGGTATAGAAACTTCGGCCTGCCGAAGTTACGGAAACTAGCTGGTTTTTGAGATGTTTTTAAGATGTTTAACTAAAATTAAGATTGCGGCTCAAAAAAGAAATTTCGGTAACATGCTCGGATTTTTTCCCGAAGTGATGTTTTGAAACATATATACAGTTTCCATTAGTGACTCGTATGTTTCGTTTTGTGAGTAAGATCACAGCTGAGATCGAAATTCATGCAGGGCTCTATTAAGCATGCAGATTCTAGAGATTCTGGCGCAACGCAGTGGCACTTAATGTTTTAATGCTCGGACTTTTTACTGTTAACAAATTTGCTGATTTTCTTACAGTGAGCTGACATTTTCCATATGCCCGCTAAATGAGAGGCTACGGTCCTCTGATGTCGAATATTGGTAACACCTTTTGGTGCTGAAATATAAAATCTATCGCCTCTGATAGCCTTCAACCAGTAAGAAAATTTTGTCGAATGGCTCATTTAAGAGCGAATCAGATATCGCCGGAAATTACCAACAATTCGGACATTGGTCGCCCATAACTTGTGCACTTGATCTTGCACCCAGATCTTTGTGAAGAATGGACATATTTTGATGTCAAATGGATTTATACATGAAGCGTTTCCATTTTTTCCCTTCAATGAACGCTAAATTGCATACATTTCCCTCGGAACCAAAAAATTCTGGCACTTTGTAACTTTTCTTCCTGTGGTCTAGTTTGTAAACATTTGTTGTGCAGATTTATGGCTGGATATGTGGAACCGCATTACCACGTCAGCGAAGCTAAAAATAAAAAACCAAGCCAAAAAAACTAAAGAGAGCAGAGGATGGAATTTGATTTAAGGCCTTACACTGCATGTAGGATGTTTTCATATTGGATATGCTCCGTGCACATGCATATGCCACTACCATATACCCTATAAGTTCGAAATAAATATACTACATTGTTATTGGTTATATAACATTACAAAAACTGTAATGGGCAATCGAATATTAAATAAAGCCTTGAACCTTATACACTAAAGACGCTGAGTTTAACAGTATCCTTTCTTCTAGATTAGGATTTCTAAAATATTTCATGAATTGTATACTCATAAACGGAAAGGGTAAATCCCTTAAATCCAAGCCGCGTAATTGCTTGTTTGGCAAGTGTAAGTTACACCATTGCACATTCGGCTAGACATTGTGGCGCAATGTAGTTCAAGGCAGCAGTTTACTTAGCCTATAAGTCTTGTGCTGGGATTTCCTCCACCTTAAAAGACCTACCTGCCCAGAGCCACACTGCTTTCATTCTCATTCTGGGCACTCACTTAGCAGAGCATTTTCACCTGCGATGCGTTTATAATGGAAGGCGGGAAGGTATGAAAAGCTGCGAGCGACACATCGCGTATACGCCACGTTGTGCATAGTAGTTTGGAGGATGAGCAGGTGGGCGGGTGATGGAGCATTGCGTGTTTGTTTTTTGCGTATGCATATTCCACTTGCTGGCTTTCCTGCTTTTCATGTTGTCATTCATTTGTTTGACGACTTTTGTTTGCTGGCAATCAGCCAAGGCTAATAAAAGAACAAAATAAGCCAAATAAAACGCTTCAACAACTAGTTTCAGTTGAATTGTGTTGACTAAATACCATTTTATTTTATTTAAGGTTCCGTCAGTTAGATTAAATTGAGAACTCTAGCCATGTGGTTCCTGATATAAGGAAAGTAATGGAAATTGATTGAACTGTGTGACTAGAGACTTTTTGTGGGAATTAACAAAGTATCTTTAGGTAGGGTTACTATTCTTGCCAGTTTTCCTAGTAGTCGACGGGGACTTGGGATCAGCGGAGCCAGTGGGACTCCTCTTTTTGGAAATTTCATCGGTCTGCCTGGAAAACACGAAGCGATGATATTGTCTGGCCAAATTTGAGCACTGCAGAGGTTCGTTGGGATACCGTTGATAGCAGTGTATCAGTTCCTCCTCGAACTTTCCGATCTCGCCTTCACAGTCCTTGGCCCATTTCACGGGCTTTCCAAAGAGGTCCTGAACTCGCTGCAAGGACTTTCCAAACTCAGTTTCCTCAACCTCAAGGGAGCGCCTTTTCCAGGACTTGGCTATTTTTACAGGATGCATATCCTGCACTTCATTTGGTTTGTGTTCCATGGTAGTGGGAGAATCGGAACGCGCTTCTGCTGTGGGCCTTTGACTGCATTTTTCGCAGCTGGTAGTCCCCTGTTTAGTGAATTTGGTGGTGGCCTGATCGATCCTATGCACCACATCCCGAGTAATCCCAAAGGGCATAGGATTTGCCATCTGCACAGTCTGCGGCTTGCTGTTGCTGGCACCCATTTTTTAATATTTTCTGAGAGCTCGCTTCGACTTTATAGTTTATATTTATTGCTCCTTTATGGAGTGACAGATAATTTGAAATATTTGACCTCAAATGCGAAGCCTTACCTTTGGTTTCTTCCCTAAACCGTTCGTTCTATCTTTTTTGTAATTAATACGACTCAAATGCATTCGACCAACAAAAAACTTAATTTCCTAACCTTTATTATTCGGCTAGCTGTCAGATTAAAGCATTTTGGCTGTACAAGTATTCAATATGCTGAGTGTCGATTTGTTTAGTCAAAAAAATGTATACGAATGTAACGATTTGGTTTATCTCGTAGTGCTAGTGAAGTGGGTTCCAAAGATCTAAGCTTGAGACAAAAACAAAAAAGACTTGGATTTTTTTTAATTTCATGCAAAATTTTATTTGTTGCATTTATTTTTTAGTTTGTACTTACACGAGGTTTTATTTTATATAACATACATCATAAAATTTCTCATATAGAATACCTCCGATGACGACTAAGGTGTTAATTAGGACACTCTTTGTCATATATTCGGATCTGCAAAGTGGACTAGGCCTATGGGGGACACCACTATATAAAAACGAGCCTGGAACAATACCTCAATGGTGGTCTGGAAAAGTGTTCATTGAAATTATTTGAATAAATATAAAGATACCAATTATTGGAGTGTTATTTATTGCATTAAATTGGTAAGGGACCGTGGATGGCAATGTCGTTCATGGCATCACGGTACACGGTACAGCATTGTGACATCAATCATGTGTCCTTTATAGACCGCACTCCACGTATAACATGATTATTTGGATATGCCTTTGCAGTAGACAAAAAAATAAAAATTGAAAAAAAATGTTACATGATTTTTATAGGAACTCATTTAAAACCCTAGTTAGGTTTCTATGTATGTTGGGAACTCATTTAAAAATTAAAAATATACTTTGATTGAAAATATGAGAAAAGCACCCTGGTCTTTTATAGCAAAACCAGGAACTTTGAAATTCAGTTACAAGAGAACCATGTCCGACCGCCAAGTTCTTTTGCATGTAAATTCTTAATAAATCGCGGTCCATCGAGGATAATTTTTTCGCGAATTTCGGGGGTGAGTACCCTAATCTAGAGTGTTACCATAACTTTTTCCCATACCGTTTTGAAGTCAATAGCAAAGCATTCGAAAAATGTTGCAAGCTGTAAGAAAACTTTTAAAAATATCCTTTACCCAGTATTGGGGTTAAAGCAGTTATAAATTTACATCCGCTGTAAATGACTTTTTTGACACCAACCTCTCAAATGGAATAGATTTTACCCTTTTGTTAACCTTTCTGTATGAATAATATTGCGGTTATATAGCGTCTAAGAGGCTGAGGACCGTACTTTAATTTTTTTCCTTATTGATCTACCGAACATCTTTATCCCCTGAAAATTCGGCGGACTCAACTTTTTTTTGACGTCCTTAACCGGTTTTTGGGCCCCTTGGTTTAGTATTACTATATCAATATATTAATACATCTTGGGTCATTGAGTTCCCGTTGACAGGCGCAATCCCCACTGGCAGCATCACTGGCACCATGAAAACTATATATAGTTAAACAAATATATATCAAATATTACCTTCAATTATCCATGCCCCACAAGGAGTGTTTTGAGTGTTTTAAAATATCACAAAAAGTAGAGAATTTAAAAAAAATGAAAAACGATTACTCGTTTTACACAAGATTTCGCTACAGAAAAAAATTACATTAAAAATCTCGTGAGCGACCAATGTCCAATTAATTCCTAATTCTTCAATTAATGGCGTTCAAATCTTAAATTTTTAGTGTCGTCTTTTAGAGTTTTAATGTGTCTAAGTTAGCCGTTTAGTCGCTAGGGTCAAAAACTATTCTTGACCGTTAACTATATCTGCCCCTTTCCCCTACATGCTTTTTAAAGAATAAACTTAAAATAATGAACAGGAAAAAAATGTGTTTCCTAGAACTTTAAGTCCCTGTACCTCGAATATTCTACTTGGCAGATGGAAGTTCGAAGCTCGATCGACTTGACTAGCTGACTGTGTTAAAATGTAAGCAAGTTGTAAAATATTTTTACCACCTTTGCCCACTGCACCACGTGTTCTGCGAAGTTCATTGTTTTTCTGCTGAATAAGAACGAAATTGTAGCTGTGGCAGCCATATAAGGTTGCAGCTTCTGGCACGTGCCCCTGTCATTAGCCCCTCCTCACCTCAACTAACACTCGTTTGCGGCATCTTAATTGTGCTGTCAATCATTTTGCATATTTGCACAGATCCAACAACAAATTTATACGGGTTAAAAGATAAATAAAATTAAATAAATTTGTGATGGTCAAGCGGAAGCACAGTAAATTGTAATGGGAAATGAATTTAAATATATGCAAAATGAGCTCAACGAGGATGCTGAATGTATGGGTGCTGAAAAATGACAAATCATGCGAAATGGCTGAGAGGTCGTACTAACTGAATAATATTTATTGATTGTTTATACTTGATTGCTCGTGAGCAATTTACACAGCATCCAATTAAATGATTTGGCAGAAAGGAAGGAGAGATTTTTCGAATGCCAATTTGGCATAGGAATTTTTCATCAATTGCTCAAAGTCAACGGGCAAAACGATTAATTACCAGCGCCAAAAATCTTCTTGTTTTGGATATTTAGAATGGCGGACCAAGCACACATTTTTAACGTTAAACAAATTTTTAGGGGAATAAACTATTGTGGATGGTGTGATTGCAGACAATCGGCTTGTATACGCCATCCAATGCTTTAAAGAGTGGAAAAAGCTTAAATCTCCAAGGCAGGTGATATCTTAGCAAGAAATTGTGTACTTGTTTATTAGATTGTAGTATGAGATTATAATGTATTCAATTTTTACAATCCGAAAGTAAGATTTACTTAGTTTATAAGACAAATGGAAAGCTGATTGAATTTAAAGTGTTTGCAGAAAATCTATAAATCTACATGAGCAAAAAAATAGAAATCGGTATCAGCCCCGGGAAAGATATATGCTAATACTAAATAAAGCAAGAAGACAATGATGGAGTGGTCAAAATATTTAAGCTATTTGATGTCCGAACAAAATAAAGACTGTGTTGATTGAGTCTTTTTACGTATGTATCTAGTAAGGGCGCTGATCAATTGCCATATGAGAGATCCGGATTTCTCATCAATATTAAATGCTTTTTGAACATCGCCTGCTGTTTTTGAATAAAACAGAACTTTAGAGAAGCATGGTACGAAAATATACTCAATGGATGTACATAACATCGACTGAATTAAAACCACAAGCTTTATTAAACAATAGAAGATCAGAAAAGTATTTTTATGGGACAGATTGAAGGGACGAAACGTAAAAATGCATTCCAATTTTATTACGAAATTAAATTACCCATATTTAATAAGTAACAGCGCATTTTGATTTGCGGTTAGCCATAGACTTTGCCAAAGGTCTTGATTTTTATGCCATCCCCTCTGAATCCCTGCACACTTTCCACAGCAACGTTAATGGCTTACAGTTGAGCCAGAGGCATCATAACCTCTGTGCCTGTTGCTGACAGGCCCTCGAATGCGGCTTAAACACCATGGTGGCAGAAGAGCGACAAAGAACCAAATTACCTCCAGGTAATCAGCGGCAGTTTACGTTTGTTCGGTCCACTAAGCTTTTACGGCCGGTCCACTTATCTTGTGAATTTATCTGCAAACCGCACGGAAGATGACTTTCGCTCCATCTTAATGACAGCTGGTCTGATAGCAGGATCTGGACCTGAGGCCGGCATATTTGCAGCGCGTCCTTTATGTCTCATTAAAACTTTACGCACATCAGGAGCAGCAGTGGCAAAAAGCTTAATAGTTTAATTTCCCGACAGGAGACCCAAGACCTCAGAATGGGTCAAATGAAAAAGGTAGTTGAAAGGTAAAAGCAAAAAGTAACCAAAATAAAGAGAAACGGCCAACATTTGGTTTTAGGTTTCTTGGTAATAAATCTTCTTTTTCTGCGGACATGTGAGTAATCATGTGCGAGGTGGGGTTGGATCCCTGAAAGCAGGAAAAAAGAGTGGAAACAGGAAGAGGTTGGGGTGTCTGACTTTACGTTCCTTTTTCCTGACTGCCCTTAGATTCCTTAGATTTGCGTGTTCTACATTTTAATACGGTTTGCTTTTCGTTGAGGTTTAAAGAGGAAGTCAAAAGAATTGAAAAAATACATTTTTAATTACGTAATCAGTTCTATGTTTTTTTTTATTTTTATGCTTAACCCGAAGTATGCTTGTACGCTATGCTACGGTTTCCGTTTCCCCTTTCTTTCGGTGGACCTAATTTACTCAGCCTTACACCACGCACAATACATAAATCGCTTTTAAACATTTTTAAAAATTAAATTTTCTTTGTTATGAGTTCTGTTTTCCTTGCACTTAACTTACGCATTGTTGTCTTCATTAAATAAACTGACCAATACATTTACCTTAAAAAAATTAAATTCTATGGCCATAGTATCTACTATGAATAAAGCATTTATACTAATAATAATCATTTGTAACAGACATTCATCCGTCTTACTTACTTGTTCTAGATCTACAGATATTTGTGAGTTTCTAAATCCATGTGATGCACAACAATATTAGTTTTTCATTATTAACACCTACTATTTTTCATGATTTTCACTCTCAGTTTCACTCAGCGGTTTTACTCATTACTCCACATTTTTAACTTTTAATAAGCTACAACTGCATATATAACTTTACTGCTTTTGCAATAATAACTTCAACCTAAGCCCGCATATTGCAATCGTTCTGCAACGCCAAATGTAATTCTTAAGTACTTGTACATTCGGGTATTTTACTTATATTGTATGCTATATTTCACGATTGATTTCTGTATTTCTTTTTTTTCGGTGACACTTAAAGTTTTGTTATTTCACATTTAATTAATGAAACTATTTATTCTGCTCGAGTACTTTTAGTTGAGGAGAGCGCTTTGGAACGAACGCATCGCGGCAAAATTTCAAAACAAACTGATTGTGTGAATTTTCCGAACTGGTCCATTGAGTCAGAAAAGCAAGAGGAAAACAGCAGCAGCGACTTCGTAGTCGGCATCAGCTCAATTTGCTCTCTTCGGCGCTCCATTCGCGAACCGCTCTCTTGTGCTAAACAGTGGGAAATTTTCCTGGTTTTGTTTGGGAAATTTAGCGTGGAAATGCTGCTGTTTCTGCTCGCTGCGATGGGCGGGAAAAGTGGCACGTGCTTCTGCTTTGGGCCGTCAACGTCTGCTACGTGATTCTGGCGGGTCCCTCTCCTTCCCGAGTCTTGTGTACTTTATGAATGAGTTACATACACGCACACATGCCTAGAGAAGGCCAGAACTGAACGGAACAAATAATCACTGGTCGCCCGCTTGACAGCCTTCTAAACAGAACCTATTTATATGTATACCCTGGCAGAGGATATTACGATATCAGTCAAAAGTTTGCAATGCAGTGAAGGAAGGAAAACGAGCCGGATCGAACAGTCATGTTATTTAGTAGCCATATGAACGATCGGAAAAATAAGGAAACTTAATTGGTGTACTAAGAAGCTCGAGATATAAATCTTTTTTTACGACTTTTGAAAAATCCGATAGTTTGGCGGAAAGTCCAAGGAATGACACAGATCTTTAAGGCTTATACAGTCAAAATAAATTTTACCCTACATTTTAGAAAATCGCCATTAAAAATTCTTTTCTCTAAATACAAGAAAGTTATTTCTAAAGCTAGGGACATTTTTTTAAATCAAAATAGTTTTTCTTAAATAATGAAAGCTGTTCTTAAAAGTAGGTTTGAATGGTTACCATGAACTAAAATCACCCTAAAAATAAGAAAAAATGGATTTAAATAAAGAAATTATTTTATAAAAAATAGAAAGTCTGTCACAAAAATAAAATTGTTTTGCAGTTCCTTTTATAAAAATGAATAACCTAAAATTATACCCAAGCCCTAAAATGATTCTTACCCAAAAAAAATAGACAAATTTCAATCAAAAATAGAAATTATTTCTAGAAAATATAAACGTTTTCTAAAAAATAGAAATACTTTCTAAATAATAGGAACACATGTTAATTCTTAATATTAACATTATATGTTGCGTGAGCATCACCACAATTTTATTGGAACTTGTATTCTGTTACTTGCGACTGTTTATACATATGTACACATGCATATAAGGTAATAAACCTAGAAATGGCCAAGTGAATACTCCTGTTAGTTTCAGAATTTTTTTGTTTACGAAATTAAGTTTATAGGGGTGGGAGAGGTGAGCGGCAACTTATCGATAACACTCACGGTCTTTGCCCAATTCCACAATATTTAAATTAAGTCTAGGAATATATGTATAATGTTTAATGATTTCTGATGAATGGCACTACAGTGTATTTGTTTATGCTGTGCTTATTATTGCATTTATTTCATTGTTATTACTCGCTGGCGATATCTGAGGAAAGACAAACGTGAGGAAGAAAAAATATCGATAGTGCTATCAATAACTTACGATAACAAGTATGGTCGCGAACGTAGCTTTGGTCCATCTCTAAGACTTAAACCGCATGTTTTTTTTCATTTCGCAGTTCTTAAAAGTGTTACCGATAAGTGAAATCACCCAATACAGATCTTATGGATACTTAGCTCCAAAGTCTAAACTGAGAAGCGTTAGCTTCTCGGGTAAGTAGTTTAATTTAACTAAAAATACAAACTTAGTATTAATTATGAACGCATGCTATATCTGAATTTTGGAGAAGAAAGCTTAAGATCGTTAAGCAGGGAGCAATTTAGGATGGAAATTCCGAAGGAATTAGTAGGGCAAGCGGTAGTTCTTTTCCGAGCTGCAAAATTGGAAACGCCGAGTGAGTAAATATGTACACTTACTCGCAAATATCTGCGTACACCTCCAAACAATTGCAAAATCAAACTATGAACATTAATTGTTCGGTCATTTATGCATTAATTTTATTCATTCTTTTTTTTAACGAAATTGTCTTTAATGACGTTTTCTTTCCAGAAATATTTAACAGGGGGTTGTATCTTATTTTTAATTTTAAACTTAACACTACGAAAAAGTGTACGTCAAAAAGTCTGCGTACAGCTGTTTAAAGTCAAGTGGAATGCAACATTGTGCGACTACCGTTAAGATTTCTGGCGCCGATCTATCTTCTGCAGATTGTCTATGCATGTAGGTATTGAGCAATTGAAACTAAATTTTTTCAAATCAAGTTCAGAAGAATTTTAAAATTTATATTACATTTATTTATTTAACACCAATATTAATTTTAAATATTTTTATAGAAAACATATTTCATAAAAATTGTTGGCAAGCAACCAGGAGGTATTTGATACAGTAAAATCTATAATTTAAAAGCCAAGGCAAAAAAGCAGTCTGCTGTTCAATTCAGCGGCCCTTCCAACGTGAAAAATACTTGCCCGAATCCAACTGATCTGTACCAGGGTGGTCAATATAGAACCACGAAACGAAGTTGATGAAAAGTGGGCTCTTACATTTGAGTGGCGTTAAAGTTTCCGGTCGACGACTGCTACACTTAGCACAATTATTGAAAAATTTAAAACGGTCTTTTTTATTTTTGTCAGAGTATAAATTTAATCAAAACATTCTCTAATCAAAGCGAAGGTAAGAAAACAAAAAACTTTACAAGACTAAGCAAACTTTTACTTTACGAGAAAATATATTTAGTGTCGTTTTCTAGTCCGCATGTTAAATTTAAAGTAGTCTTTAAACCTTAAAATCGTATGGGAATTCAGTGTTTTACACCAAATTTTCATAATTCAATCTCTTGTTGTTAATTACACTGTGTTACTAAATAAACAGTTTACTTATTTACCTCGATGGATACCTTAAAATTGTTATACCCGTTACTCGTAGAGTAAAAGGGAATACTAGATTGGTCGGAAAGTATGTAACAGGCAGAAGGAAGCGTTTCCAACCCCATAAAGTGTATATATTCTTGATCAGGATCACTAGCCGAGTCGATCTAACCATGTCCGTCTGCCCGTATGAACGCTGAGATCTCGGAAACTATACAAGCTACAATACTGGGATTAGGCATGCAGATTCCTGAGATTCCTGCGCAGCGCAATTTGTTTTTCAGAAGAGTGCCACGCCCACTCTAACGCCCACAAACCGCCCAAAACTGTGGCTCCTACAGTTTTGATCCTAGAATAAAAATTGTAACTGAAATGTATTGTTCTCCGCTCACAATTTTCATGCTAGATACAAAATTTTAACTGAAATGTATTGGTCTCATTAATACCTATCGATTGATCCCAAAAAAAATTGGCCACGCCCACTCTAACGCCCATATCGCTTAAATCTGTCTACCGCCGGTAGGTGGCGCATTTCAATCTCGCTTTGCTGCTTGCTTATCTCCATTTCCCTTTGGTCCCATTAGCTGAGTAACGGGTATCTGATAGTCGAGGTACTCGACTATAGCGTTCTTCCTTGTTTTCGATTCGAATTACCAATTCAATCTGATTTTAAACCAACTTTAAATCTATTCTATGAGCGAACGGATTCTTGTTTTGATATGCAGTCAAAACATTTTAAAAGTGTATCTCTTTTTCTTCTACTCCCACATACTCAAAATAATAAATTTTAATCGAGTTATAAACTAACACAGTGTTATCAAAGTATTGAGTAATTTAATACAGGTGTTTCAAATGTTATAAGCAGATATTATTAAGAAATACTATTTAAAAAATTAGACAATACATTTTTAAACTTTCGAAGCATAGAAAATATACAGAAGCAAAATTAAGCTTGACATTTCAAAAAAATCGTATATATGCGTGTTTTTTATTATCACAAAATTATGTTTTGTTCACAGATACCAAGGACGACCTACTCTTTGATGTCATTCACTCTGTTCTCATCCCTAGCAAGAGAGGAAAAAGAGGATCTTCGGGGAACTTGAAGTTAAGTATACTGCCTATATTAAAGGGATTGCTGCCCTAGATTTTGGAAAATAAATGCCATCAAATTTAGAAAGAAAATTATTTATTTCGAGAAAACTATTTCTAAAATCTAGGAAGAATAGCCATATTATTTAGAATTTTTTTGCATATTTAAGAAATATTTTTGTATATTTAAGAATCGTTTTCCTGTATTTTATGAATATTTTCCTATATGTAAGAAATATTTTCGTATACTTTAGAAAGTGGTTTATAATTAGTATGGCTTTTAGCCCTGGATTTTAAAATTTTTCGACAATATTTTTAGAAAATCCTTACCTTTCAATTTCTTGCGAGCTTGTCTTGAAGACAAAAATAGGGCGATTTCCTTGACTTTTTTTGGTTAATTTTATTTTGAGTGTAGATTCTAAAAAACTAATGCTGCAGATACGTGCTACTTGGCGCGGAAAGGGTAACTCAATATTCTAGTCACGCCGCTTAAATTGGCTAAGTACAAGCGATTTAAAGTTATAGCGTTTAATTTTTAAATCTCAACTAAATTAACCCTTGAGATTCCTCAACTTTAAATACATAACACTTTTTGCAATATAAATTACCGATTGGAAGTTCTTAAGCGACAAAACTCCAACTTGTTTGAATGCGCAAGAAACTATGCTACTCTATTATGTAAAAAAAATTTTAATTCCTGAGCTCCACATTTATCACTTTTGGAAAACCCGCTAGTTTGGCGGGAAATAAAAAAATTTTTTTTTTTAATTTGGAACTTTTTTGACAAATCATTCAAAATCACCTCTTTACGAGGTAAAAAAAAAGTGACGATCGCAACTTCAGCGTACAATAGTAAAAAAATCAATTATTGTGATGAAAAATGGTTTTAAATTCTTAAAAATAAATTCACTATCTTAAATGTATTCACTCGACAAACCACCCAAAACTGTGGCTCCTACACTTAATATAAAATTAACCCTAAAGTCAAGGAAGTATATCTACAATTTAAGGCTAAAAGCCCTAAGAATTTTAATTTAAAAAAAAATATTTTTAAAATAAATGACACATTTTTTCTTGTTTAAGACCCTATAAATACGAAAACACTTTCAAAATATGGGATAAATCAAATACAAATTATACATATATACAGCTTTATTATACATTCATAAATAGGTAGGAGAGTGTAGAACAAGGTGACGAGTAGGGTAAGGTGACGAACTCGCCAAATCTCATACGTGACGTTACGTATAAAAATTCCAAATAATTGTATTCGATCTTATCGTTAACTTTTTTAAGAACTCGCGTAATTTCTTTGTGAGATAATTATACCCGTTACTCGTAGAGTAAAAGGGTATACTATATTCGTCGGAAAGTATGTAACATGCAGAAGGAAGCGTTTCCGAGCCCATAAAGTATATATATTCTTGATCAGGATCACTAGCCGAGTCGATCTATCCATGTTAGTCTGTCCGTATGAACGCTGAGATCTCGGAAACTATAAAAGCTACAATTCTGGGACTAGGCATGCAGATTCCTGAGATTCCTGCGCAGCGCAAGTTTGTTTCAGCAGAGTGCCACGCCCACTCTAACGCCCACAAACTTCAAAAAATCGTAAATATGATCTCGGAAACTATCAAAGGTAGAGCATTGGGATCTCAGATTTACATTCCCTAGCCTTGTACACAGCGCAAGTTTGTTACGCGAATATGCCACGCCCGCTCTAACGCCCACAAGCCGCCCAAGCCTGTGGCGCAATACAATGAATGTATTGGTCTCGTCAATACCTATCGATTGATCCAAAAAAAAATTTGCCACGCCCACTCTAACGAACATAACGCATAAATCTGTATACCGCCGGTAGGTGGCGCATTTCAATCTCACTTTGCTGCTTGCATATCTCCATTTCCCATTGGGCCTTTTAGCTGAGTAACGGGTATCTGATAGTCGAGGTACTTGACTATAGCGTTCTTTCTTGTTTTTTGTTGAATTTTGTGAACTAGAAGTTGAACCAGTTAATTTGATCAATTTAAACGAAGAACTGAAGTAGTCATGTTTTTAGGTGTACAGTTAAATTTGTATTATATATTCTTCTATTCTGTTTACAAAAAAAATCGACGAAATACGCCACGAAGGCGAACTTGGTTTTCCGGTAAGGTACATCTCCCTGATTAAGAAAAGGGCACTTAACATTTTTTGTATGGTACCACTTGTTTTCAAAGTGAAAAAAAGTTTTTCGCACTTTTTTATTTTCTAACTCGAGTTCTGATTAACCGAATTCGGTCATCAAAGACTCATTTTACAGGTAATAATGCCCTTTAACTTTCCAATACAGACCATTGAGTTCCATTCAATAGTTTACAAGCTAGACTTCGTCAAAGTTGAAAAAGTTGGAAAAAATGCAAAAACGCTGGGACAAATGGCTTTTTTTTAAATATACACGCCTAAAAACCGAAATTAGTATATACCCAAGTGCAAGTTCACATTCTTCAGTTGGTTGTCGACGAGTACTCATCTTACAGCTCCCCAAATTTTTTTTTGACTTTTAAGCCTAGTACTCAGATCGGCTAAGAGTTTCACTAGTCGAAAAATCTTATTCTTTGCAGAGTGACCGAAGTTTTCAAAGTTCACCCGCAATGCATGTAGCATGGTCTTACTGTCAAGAAGCTGGTTTGACGAACGGAAAACAAATCAACTGGAGCAATTAAAAAAAGAAGAGTCTGTTGGTGCACAAAGAAATTAACATAAATATAAATGAAATGTTTAAGGAATGTTTTATTTATGTAAATTAGTAGTATAAAGTAAGTATCTTTCCCGCGCCATCTGTAGTCCAGCTCCGAAGCCAAATATGCATATTGGACTTTAAGGAAGTGGGAACGGGGTTGTTCCGCCTGATGCTGCATACAGTCACCCAGCATCCCGGTAATGGCTGGTGATGGCTCCTCCAGCTGGCCATTAGCGGGCGATCTTATTTCCTCCTCCCTATAGAAGCCGGTGCGTCCTCCATCTCCGCTTTAGCTGCCAAGTAGTTAGTGGAGGTGGAGTCCAGTGGTTCCTCAATGGAGACCTCGTCGGAGATCGAGCGAAGTCCCACTCGGCATGTTCCTTCCCACTGGGATTCTCTGGTGTATCTCATCACCTCTAGCACTTCAACTATTCTGCGGATTTGCCCTATTGTGGTATTGCTTCCTGTACATGAAATCCCACAATAATGGCCAACAGCAATAAATGATCCCTGACACATTGTAAGAAATCAAAGCGGGATTTCCCGGGCTTAAAATCGTCCGAGTTTCCTTCTACAGATTAATTTATTTTTATAGAATGGGCAAAGCAATGCTGCTTTACGGAAGATTTTGTGGCAAACTCCGGTTCGCTCTGTTTATGTGAAGACCACTTTTTACCTGAAAATATCGGTCAAAGGTATTTAAAAAAGGGTGCCATCCCAGTTCTTAGTTTTGTCGAGACCAATGGAAAAGGTGGAGAATACAGAAGAGGGCGCGCACCTGTTTCAACCCCATCCA